AAGTATAGTATATATGTTATAAGTATAATTATTATATAATATCAAAGTGTTATATTATAGAAGTGTATTTATATAAATATATAAGTATAATATTATACAAGTATAATATATATTTTAGATATTTAAATATAATTAAATATATTTATATTTATAATATATTATATATACATATTATATATATTTAATAAATACATTAAATATATAACTATTATATACTAAATATATATTAAATTAAATTTATATCCATATTTTTATTTATGGGGAGAATGGATGCAGCTGGAGAATTCCAGGCTCTGCACAGCTGGAGCCCAGGTGACTTTGTGTGGGTGCTGGCAGCAGGGTGAATCCTGCTCTGTGGGGCACAAAGGGTTTGCAAATCCCTGTCCTTTGTACCCTCAGAGCTGGGAATGACACAAAAAGGACAAAACCAGATAAAATCCCTGCAGGAAGATCTGTGCTGGCTGTGGCACTGATGTTCGTCATCTGGCTCCTCATTATGGCCACAGAACTTTGCAGATTTCTCAGTTTTCCTTCAGCTTTCTGTGGAAAGAGCCTGAAATGGATTTCCACAGAGCCTCGAGAGGATTGTGAAGCAAAACTTTTGATGTGCCTTCAAACACCTCACTGTGCTGGAACGAGCTTTGCCTCGCAGTCCAAAGGGAAATGAATTTGTGCTGATTTTTACTGACTGTCCATAAATCATGGATAAAACAATCACGGGGTGTTTGTACCCACCTCCAGCAGAACTGGTGCTGCTCTGCCATCTGATGGCAGAGCTGGAACAGAACAGCACTCCTGTCCTGGTCCTGCCTTTTCCAGAGTGGCTGTATCCCACAGAATGTCTCCAGCAGCATCAGTGGCACTGCAGGGCATCCTGCTGCTGCCTGTCTTTCAATTGTAGTTGAATTATTTTAAATGAAGGGAATATCCCATCCTTGCTCATGGATCCTGGCTGCCCCCATCTCCCTGCCCTTGGTGCTTGGCTCGTGATTCCCACACTCTCATGTGGAGCATCAGGAGCAGAAGACAAAGTTCTGATTTTAACTTTTCTGCAGTTCCCCCCTCTGTCTCTCTTGTTCTCTGTGTCTCCATTTCCACCTTTACAAGTGGGAACTGTGCACCTTGAAGTCTTCTACAAACCCAAACCCACTCCCTCCATTTCAGCCTGCAAATAAAAAATTTAAAGAGTTTTAAATCCACCTCTCTACAGTTTTGGCACAACTTAAATATCTTTATCAGCATGCTGCTTCTCCACTGCTCTCTCCTCCTTTCTGGCTTCATCTCCCAGCAGCTGAGCCTGCTCTTGATTTGATTGTGGGTCCTGAAAATAAGTGATTTAGCCTTGGATAAAGTGATTTAACCTTGGAGACCGAGGCTGGAAGAGAGCAAACAGACCCTGGGCCAGTTTTCTGTGAGAGGGGAAGCTGCTCTCACTTGGCTGATCAAGAGCAAAACCATGGATTACTCCTGGAGCTCCTTCTCCTGGAGTTCTAAGCTGGTTTCTCAGGTCATTCATCTCTTCTTCCAGCTCCATATCCCACAGCTGTGCTGGGACACCTGGAGCCACCTGGAGTTCTCTCCTTGCCTGCTGAGATGTGAAGTGCAAACACGACTGACAGCACAGCCAGCCTGGTGGCACATATTTTTATTTTGTTTCTGAAAAAATCTGCAAGGATTGCTGCTGAGACAGAGTATTTATGTATTTTATGTATTTTGAGTGTATTCTGTAAGCACTGTAATGCTGTAACTCTTCAGCCATGGTAAAAGCAGGCACTGAAATGTATTCACTGTGCTCTCCAAAAATCAGGTGATATCCTGGATTTATTGTCTTTTATTTCTATTTACCTTGAGGAGCTGCCACTGTGCTGTTAAGACTTTGCATTTCACAAAACATTCCCAAGGGGAACAAGCTGGGAGTTAAGTGACCAGCTTGCTTCTGAGTGCTGCTGATTTGTTTAATCCATATGCCAAATCTTAGCTGAAAATCATTACTATTGATCTGTCCTTACAGAGCATTTTGGGATATTCAGGTCAAAGTACTTCAGCTAAGCACAATTTTGTTCCCTGTCTCTTCCTTCGTTTGTCCTTTCCCAATTAATCATTTTAAGGCTGGACTCCATCCAAGGGAAGCCTTGGCTGGTATCTCATTGTTCTTTCTGTATTTGTTGACTTCTTCACCTTGTTTGGTTTTTGGTCTTGTTTGCTTTGAAAGGCAAAATCTCTGTCTGGGAGAAGACTTTGCTGCAAAAGGAAAATTGCCCATCACAGATGTGAGTAACTTATATCTATATATGAGTATCTATCATTCTCATATCCTGGAAATGGAAAAATGGAGCTGCAGTGAGAAGTGGGCAAAGGCCAACAGCTGCTGTTTCTTTTAATTCTTGGTTCCCAGTTACTTTTGGCTGCTGCATCAGCTCTTGAGCGTTGCAGGGTGAAAAAGAGCTCAGTGAGTTTTCCATTATAATTGAGCTCCTTTTATTTTTTACACAGGAGACTTAGATCTTGATGCACATCCAGAATCCTGAATTAAAGACCAAGTGTTCTGGGAAACAGCTTCTTGGGGGTTTTCTGTGGGCTCTTGCTGCCCCAATGCTCCTTTGAACACTTTTGCCATTGTGCACTTTGTTCTGTGTGCTCTGCCCTTCCAGGGATCTTCACCCCTGAAGAAAAGGGATTTATTTCATCCTCCCTGCAGTGTGAGAGGTGATACCTGAACATTTCAGAGTACTTGGCTGAGACCTGTTTGTTCACCTGGACTGGGCAGGAGCTTGGGACAGAACTGAAGATCCTGGATCTGCTCTCAGGACATCTAAAACAGCCTGGCTGAAGTTCCATGATGGATTTTGATGCTTTCAGTTGTGAGTGAGGGCTACATGTGAAAGAACAAAAATTGCTTTTTGTTCCTTTGCATCAGCACTGGCAATCAGTTCTTGGTTAAAAGCTTTGAATCCAGCAACATAAAACATGAAATATGAAACATGAAAAATAAAACATGAAACATAAAACATAAAACACATAACATAAAACATAAAACACATAACATAAAACATAAAGCATGAATATAAAACATATAAAACATGAAATATAAAACATGAAATATAAAACATGAAATATGAAACATGAAAAATAAAACATGAAACATAAAACATAAAACACATAACATAAAACATAAAGCATGAATATAAAACATATAAAACATGAAACATAAAACATGAAACATAAAACATATAATAATATAATATAGTAATAAAATAAACTAAATAATAAACAAAATAATAATAAACAAAATAAACAAAACAATAATAATAATAGTACTGGAAATAGTACTACTACTACTAAATATCAAAAAATAATCTAGAAAACACTGAGCATGCTGCTCAACATTATAAACTTGTGGTGTGTTTCTCAGGTCTATATAATTAGACAATAATAATAATAATAATAATAATAATAATAATATAAAGTCTGCAGGGAACATAAAGCAAATTGTTGGGTCAAATAGCAACTGATATTCCCCTCCTCATGTGAGTTCCATTTCCATGTGTAGATCTGCCTGGGTAAGAGTTGCATGACGTGGTAAATTCATTTTGCCTCCAAGAAAAGCCACTTTCAGAGAGGATTTCAGAATTTTACAGCAAAGACTTCAGTGCTGGTGTGCAGGAGAACCACACTCTGTTAAATCTGGAGAACTCATTAGTGGAGGTGAGTGATTTGTATGAAAGTTTTCTGTCCTTGGGTAATTCCTACAAAACTTTTGCCTGATTCCTTGATGGTTCAAAACAAATAATGTTAAGCCTGATTTATGATTAAATAAATAAAGTGAAATATTTTCAAATTTGTAGTGAGGTCATGATTTATGTTGGTACCCATGGGGTACAAACAGAACACAGAGGGTCCTCCTTTCCCTTGTCTTATAGCTTAAAATCCAGAGTATTCCTTTTTTGCAACAATTAATGATAGAAATTGTTCCTGCTATCAGCTTCCTTCCTGCTTCGTTCATTTATTAATTTATAGCAAACAAGAATGGAAAGCAGCAGCCTGTAAAACAGTCAGGAATCTCTTGGGATTAAAAATTGCAAAGCATAGGGGCTTTTAGTGTTTGTCAAAGCACAGAAAATAAGAGTTTGGTATAACATCAATTAAAAAAAAAAATTAACTTATCGCTTTTAAACTAATTTTGCATAGGAGGATAAAATTATTCAGTGCTGAAAGAAAGGAAAAAAAAAAAGTTATTTTTGTGAATCTGATTTTTCCATTTATTTATTTATTTATTTATTTATTTATTTATTCCCATATAAATATGGGGCCAAGTACCCAAATACCAATTTTTTTATGGCAACACATAATTTTTTTAAAAAAAATTCTGTCTGTTTCCCCTTTCCCTCATCCTTGTGTCTTTGCACAAGGGGAAAAAGGTGTGTGGAATGATAATTAGGGAAGAATGGAAAAAATCAGACAAATGAACTGGTTCATTTCTATAGAAAGCTTTTTTTATTTTGTATTTTTTTTTTATTTAAAAGCTGGGGTGAGCAGCATTGTGTCACTGCATCAGCCCATGCTAATCCTGAGGTGACAGCAAACAATTTTTATTGGAGGTGTTGGATTCACTTGGTAGTTTAGAGAATCCCACATTTCCCAGACAATTTGTACAAGGTTGATTTTCATCCTCAGAACAACAAAATGCTCCGTGATTGTGGCTGCAAATTTTTCACAGTGGAGAGTTTAACAGAATTTGTAGTAAAATCTATTAGAGGTGTGTTTTCATTGAAGTCTTCCTCTTTAAGGAAATAAAAAAATAAATAAACTTGTGACCACTGTTGGCTTTGAGAAGTGCACTACAAAGAATTCCTCTTTTATAATTTGCTGCTGGGCAGAACTGGCTGCTTTGATTCTGTTTTTCTTAAAAGACAACCAAATGACTAATTATCACTGCAGATAATAGTTTCTATAAATATTCTCCTTTAGAAACACATAAAGATTAGCAGCTTCACTCAGCCATGGTAGGTGATGAGAACAGTGAGTTAAGGATTAAATCTGGCATAGTTATTTCTGGATTATTCCAGCCGCTGTTGCTGGTCATCAAGGTTTACTGTGTATTGTGCATTTTGACTCTGTTCATCACAGGTATTTTCAGTACAAATGCTGGGTGTAAAGGGATTTAAGAAATTGATAATGAAACAGTGATTTAGTTCCAAAATAATTCCAAAACTTGCTTGAAAGAGAATATCTGCACATATTTTTCTTAGCCCAGTTTAGCTTTAACCTGGGCAGTTTGTACTAGGGATTATAAGATCTGTTTCCAGCCATGGCAGGAAAACTGAATTTTGCACCAGGCCATGCCTTCCAATTCTGTGTTAGCAAAACAGAAATAAAACTTGAATCCAGACTGAATCCTTCCTTCTCTTCCCCCTTTTCCCCCTCAAGCCCTGGGTGTGGACAGAAGGTGCAAGAGAGCAGCCCTTGGAGTTATTTTGTCTTTTCACTCGGATTGTTGGGGGCAACCAGGCAAAGGAGGGCTCACATCCCTGGCAGATTGCAGAAGCAAACGTGGTTTTACCTGCAGAACAAAGCCCTGGAGAGGACAAGGCTGTGGGGTGACCTCCTTGCAGCCTTCCAGTACCTGGAGGGAGCCTACAGGAGAGCTGGGGAGGAATTCTTACCAGAGCATGGAGCACAGGACCAGAGGGATGGCTTCAGGCTGAAAGAGAGTAGGTTTAGATTGGATATTTATGAGGAAAAAGTTCTTTACTGTGAAGCACAGGCTGCCCAGAGCAGCTGGATGGCACCTTCAGCTTCAGTAAGGCCAGAGTTAGCTGTGCTTTTATTCTCCACAAAGAAAAAGGGATTTTTCTTCACATGCATTGTCATTTTCTTCATATCGTATTGTCGGTACGAGATTAATTTTACAGCTTCCACAAAAATAACTACATTTTTCTTTTTGTTAAAAAACCCCTCCAACACTTACAAAGGAAGCTTTTTGTGATTGCTCTTTCAAATGCTTGCCAATAAAATTCATGTCCATCAGTTTTGCCAGCATGTCTTCCTCAGCCTGAAAAAGTGAAAAGTTTGAAGCAGGATATATCTGCACTGCTTGAGGCTGGGGCTGTTTAAATGAAAGTAAGCTACTCACATTTTTTATTTCTTTTCTGAAATTAAGAGCCTGATTGCACAGGTCAGAGCCAGAGCAAAAGTGACCTTCAACTGGCCTTAAGAAATGTCATCTCAAAATGGAATTTCTCTCATATGCCTGCCTGTGAATTACTTCAAAAATGGGTAATCACAAAATCTAGACCTGCATTTGAGTTTTGAAACATTCTGGAATTTTTTTCAAGTAAAATGATCCGCTGGATGTTTGCCAGAACATGCTTGTAACCACAACATGGCTTGGAGCCGGTTGCCAACCCATTTTTGTGGCGTGTTAAAAGTTTTTCAGCTTTCCTTCTGAACTTTGATCTGTGTTTCAGATGGACTGCTCCCTCAGGTGTTGCACGAAGCCCCAATCCTGAGCAGCAGGGAGTGTTTAGAGCTCTGCCAGCCCTACAGGGACCCATCCAAGGTGACCCATCACGTGTGCTGAATTTCCAGAGGGAGGAGGAGATTCCTGCCAGGCCAGCTGAGCACACCCTGCCTGCCTAGCAGTGCTTCTCAGGAGCCCTGTGTGCCAAAGCAAACAAATTCACCGTAAACTGGGAGGTTTGGATGGATGAATTCTTTCAAAAGTTCCCTGTGGGGCAATGCTCTTAATGACATGGTTCCATTTTAATTATTGTATGGGTTGTAGGACAGGTTCCTGACAGCAGTTTTGCAATGTACCCCAGTGCAATAATGCTCAGGGCTTTCTAACTTCAGAACACTTGATAAATTTATCCATGTTGGAAAGATCCTGAGGGTGAAAGTCGAAAGAATGGGATTACAGGAAGGAAAGGAAGTGGGATAAAGGTTGAGTGATTGTTCTTCACTCCTTTTTTGCGTGCTCAAGCACGTCAGGGATGCGCCCATGAGAGAATTGTCCCTCCCCTCCTTGACAGTCCTGACTAAACACCCTAAAAACCCTCCCTTGTGACAAATCCTCTGTCTCAGAACATTTGATTGAATTTTATCTTTTATCAGGATACAGCACTTATATGATTTGCTGTCAAAGCACTCCAGCACTTCACAATCCCTCCAAGTGTGTGGCACTTGTCAAAACCAAATTGAGAGCATCGTAAATGTTTGCTTCTCTTCCACTTTGCCTCCTACTTGGACTTGTTTATTTTTTTTTAAAGAATGATCCTATTAAGCAGCTAGCCAGTTAGCATGTTTGTTGGAATTTTTTCCTTTTTTTTTTTAAGGGGAAATTCACCAGTTGAAAGTATCAGAGATTCCATGTGCTCTTTTCTGAGTCATTTTTCTAGGCTCAGACATGTTGGATCAGACATCTGACGACAGGGGGACAAGTCATGCTCAGAAGTGATTTTGTTCACTCCTCCCAAGAGGCCATGAATGAATTCCCCCTGTGCTGGGGAACTCTGTGTGACCATCAGGCACCACTGCCAAAGTCACAGAGCTGGAAATACGAATGGCAGGGGTGAACTTTACTGAGAGCAACAAGAAATGCAACTGATATTTTCTCCTAGTTTGGGCCAGTTTCATTAAAGGGTTTTGGAGACTGTGTTAAAACTTACACAGAGAACTGAAAAACTGGGGGAGGGTTATTTATGAGATTTAGTCAATGAGAAGAAAAAAAATGGGAGGGGAAAAATAAAATTTCCTATTAAAAACCATCTTCAATTGGTGATTTGAAGAAGGAATCCCCATAAAGGGTCAGAGAAAAATGAAAAGGATTTAGCTTGTGAAAAAGTGCTGCTCAGACTGAACAGTGTGGCTCATTCTGTTAGGGGCTGCTCCAGAACTGTTTGTTCCAACATCAGCATTGCAATTTTTATTTTGATTCTAAGCCCTAGTTTATTGTAGGCCCTGAGTCCCTGAAAACTCCTGGGATTTGCCTCAGTGCCAGCGGTACAAAATTGCAAATAACAAAATTGTGAATATGAAACCACAGTGATTTATTCTTCTTTTTCCTCCCCCTTCTCTATCCCTCCTCTATTAGATCTGAAATTGAAAAGCTCCACAGGTGAGTACACTACTTTTCCCCAGTATCTTCTATCTGTGCTAGAGCATAAAAAAGTAGTTCTTTTATATAATTGTTGCTTATATAAAGTATTAAATAGTTGTTTATATAATTTATAAAGAAAGAAACCTTTTTGAAAACATTTTTGCAAGTTTTTATTAGTCTTCCCAGGATGCTGCAGGGGAAATAATCTAAATAATCTAAAAAGTACTTGACTTTAAATTTGTTTTAAATTTGTTTTAAATTTGTATTTATTTTTGTTTAGATAGTTTTGATAGATGTTGCTCTGACTGGGTTACCTTGCAAGCAGAAGGAAGGGCAAGAGGAGATGATTTTTGTGGTATTGTGTTTCTGCTGACACTTGGCTGAAGGGGAAAGCTTTTGCTTCTCCTATGAAAGTAATTTTTAACAGCAAATTGAACTGTTGCAAAAATCTCCTGCTGTAGCATAACCAAGGGCATTGCTACAGATGGGCTGCCATGAACACTTTGGTTATTTTTTGGGGTATCTATTTTTCCTCACAGAAAATTATTTGTACTGAAATCTTCATGTAGCCAAGAGTTTCTTTAAGGTAAAAGAAAAGCCCTGCCATTTACAAAAAAAAATGAGAGCCCATTGGCAGGGCTTCATCCTTGCTCCCAGATGATGGGTTTTAAAGCTGATTTACCATCATTCCAAATAAAAGAGAGGAAGAGAAGACACAGCACCAGTCTGCCAGCAGAAACAAAGTGCAGCTGAGCCATCCTCTCTCACAACAGCCTCCAGATGTTTGAGCTTTTTGCTGGAACAGCTGATTGCAAATGAGTCAATCCTGATTCCTTCCTTTATGGGTTAACTCACAGCCTTTTGTAGTGCTCAGGATGGGAAACTCTGCAACAGGGAAGGGGAATTGCATTTTCCTGGAAGGCCTGATCACTTCTGTCAAAACCACCAGTAAGAAGAGAAAATAAAGTCTTCCCCCAGAGAATATTCCCCAATCAAGGGTAGGTTTTGGGGTGGTTTTGGTTGCATTTTTGTGAATGGGAACTGATTTCTTCTTCCAGATTGTGTATATGGACTCTATTTGTGCCAGAAGGGAATTACATACTGCTTTGTTTCTCCCACTTTGAGGTAGAGCCAGAAACATCCTGTGACTGTGATTCTTTATCAGTCTATTCAAAAAGATGACAGACCGGTGGTGAGTTTTTGTCCCCTTGTTCTTTAAAACAATCATTCAGGTTAGAAAAGACCTTTAAGATCTATAACCTGTCAGAGCACTCCTTACTCTAACAGCAAGCACACCCTGTGAGGATGTGGTGGTTTGTTATGTTTCACCTGTATTTGCTTGATTGATACATTGAGATGTAGGATCTGAAATAAAAAAATTGGCATGTGGGAGGTGAAGAGGTTGGAAAAAGCCTGGTAGGGAACTGTATCACATTTCTGGTGTCAATGATTTTCACTCTTTAATAGTGTGAATCTATTTGGGCTAATGGGTTAATAGGGAAAGTAGAGGGATGAATAGGAAATTTCCTTTGCATCCTAAAATTTTGATATCAAAGTATTAAAAATGGTACATGCAAGTTTTCTCAAGTAACTGAAGGCTTCAAACAGCGATTATTCTCTAATGTTATTTTTCAGGGAAATTCTGTGGAGGAGATATTCCATTACCTATTTTATTTGGCTCCAATAGCATAAGGCTGAAATTTGTTTCTGACAACGAGGATTATGGAACTGTTTTTTTCCATTACTTACAAAGCTCTTACACCAGATATTCTTCCTGGTAAATTTAAGCCAAGTAATGTGCCTGCCTACACTCTTGGGTGGAGACCTGGAAAAAAAAGTCAGGAGAAAATAAAGCAGAGGAAGCTCCTGTGGTATTTCTGTGTGGGTGATGCTTTCATGGGGGGCCTTGAGGGAGGCAGCTGAGGCTGAAATGGGGAATTGTGTTTGGTTTTGCTGTGCACAGCAGTTCACCATCCCTAAGGATGGGCCCAAGGGCCACCTGCTGAGCCTTGAAAGAATTCCTGCTGAACCTCCTGATGAACTCCTTAAAAGAACCTCTGTTCCTGCTCTGGCAGCATTTCCAGCTGTTCTTTCCTTTCTGTTTTTCCTGCCTGGATTTCCAGACGCTGGCTGGGAGTCCCTGGCTGTCCTTTTTGAAGAAGGAGTGTTGGAGAGCACTAGAGCAGCCTGGCAGGATTGTCTGTGCCCCACAGAACCACGAAGCCAAGGTACAACGTGAATCCTTTTTGTGTCTACCTGATGGAAATGGGCAGCACTGAGCTAACAAGAAATGGGGCAGCTAAAGACAAACAAGATCAAGCATGAATAATGCTCTGGATGTAGAGGAATCACTATCCATCCCAAAAGACAGACAGCTTTAGCTTTGATAGGTTATGGTAAAATAGGATTTACTGGCTTGAATTTTATCATTGCAGATTCTTCCAGAAAATTTAATATTTATGTATCACCTGTGAGAGGTCTGAATGTCTCAGAAACCAAACCTTGCAGGAATCACTCACAATACTAAAGGCCCTGTAGATCTTTGAATTTTTTCAAGATGACTCTCACGAGGTTCCCTCTTTAATTTTTTTTTATTTAAAACTTACATACCAATCTTTTGAAGTAGAAGAGAGTGAAGATTGTTCCTGTGATACCATGAGTGTGTATGAAGATGTGGGAAAAGAGGAGAAAATTGGTTTGAATTTTGATTTTTTAAGTTTTTTTTTATTTATTTTGGGGATAATTTATTTCTTTTATGACTTTCACCAGCCCTATTGTCCAGTGTAAATAAAGTTTACTTGTGGAATCTCAGGTAATGTTATAGGTACTAGTTCCAGTACCCTGAAAAATGCTTGCAGGTACTGCTAATTCTCCTCCACTTACAGAGGCAAAGCCACATTGAAGTGAGCCATTTTTGAGTGTTTAAATTCTGTGTGAAATGCAGCTCTGAAATAATTCCAATGAAGAAAACACATAGCACAGTAATTTGGGTCTATAGGAACGATCCTGCACAAAGCACCTGAGACTTCTCCTTTTCAGAGTCCAGCTGCTCTTCATCCCAGAGCATCATTCATGGAGTTTTTGCCACTTGCCTTATAGTGAATGAGAGGAAAGCCCATCCCAAAGAACTGTTTTCAGCACTTGCTTGAAGCTGCTGCTTAGATTAGGGAAAATCAGGTAGCTGGGTGTTTAATTTGTAATGAAGTTTGTGGGTGCTGCAATGGAGTGTTGTGAAATGGTGAAGGGACCCTGCTGAACGAGGACAGGCTCCAGCAATGGATCAGACCTTCAGCCTCAGCCTGCTCAGCTCTTGGTCATGGCTACCTTTTACCTTCCTGTCTGAAACCTGGAATATGCAGAATACTGTGCACCCACTGTTGTCAGAGAGAAGGATTAAACAGTACCTGTTCATTTCTGAGCCTTTGCTTTCTCATTTTTAGTCTAGTCTTGTGGATTTGCCCTACCAGCACCTGTCCTAAGCTCCTCTGCTGTGATGCTGGCTGTCTTCCACTCTGATGAAACAGAGACCTTTGGAGGATTCAGAGCTGCAGTGTCCTTTGTTCATTTAACAGGAAATAGAAAACTAAATAGGAACTTGGGGAAATGCCTCCTTGGGGCAGCACAAAGGGCTCTTCAGTGAATTGCCTGATCAGAATTAATTTGTTCTAGGAGATTCTCATCTAAAAAATTGTTTCAGTGAAAAAAAAAAATGGATTGTGAACCTCTTCAGGAATTAAACAAAGGGCTAATGAAGGGTGAAGACAAACAATAAATCTGGCCAAAACCTGAGAGTTGTGTTTGTGGTGCATTTTAAATAGCACTTTATTACCATATTAGCACAGATCCCTACAACAGAAATCTGTTTCTTCTACAAAAATAAATAAGAAAATAAAAGTTATACTATAATACAAATAATACTGAAATCATCCTGCTAACACACTCACCACACTCATTTGCTAGATTTAAATATTTTGAATTCAACTAGAGAAGAAGATTTTGAAAACCTGAATGTTACTGAAGAAGAAATAAAGGTTACAACAGGTAAGACAACCTCAGTTATGCTTCCTTCATGGGAATAGACAGTACCTTTTGGAATTTATAAACTGATTTATGAATTTATAATTGAATTTACGAATTCTCAAAATACCTAATGGTTGCAGTTGGTCCAGATTTTTTAAATAAGGTATTTTGAGGAAATAAAAATATGCACAGTGACATTTACATGCTTTGGCTTTAGCAGAACCTAATTTTTCTTGTTTCTTTCATCTTGCTAAGTCATGTACAGCAATTCAGTAACATTTCAGCTTATATATCAGTTTACACCTACTTCCTACACCTACTTCCTTTGTTGAAAACAATTGCAAATTGCAATTGCAAGTTGCAAATACACAGCAATTGAAAACAATAACCAGCATTTTAGAGCTGCCCTTTTCCCCTCTAGTGCTCTAAGGAAAACGAGGTGAGCCTCTGTTCATTGTAGTTTTGAGGCTAAAACTTTTGAAGGTAGGTGGTAGCTTTCATCTTGGTGAAGCTCTGTTTTAGCTGAGATCATCTCCTCACAGTGGTGTAAACATTTGGATACTTTTTAATGAGGGAAGTTGGAAGATTTAGCAAAAAAGGGGGAGGTGGAGCTTGAGAAGCTGTGGGGTTGCCCTTAACTGGAACGTTCTTTATTTCTCCCAGTCTTAACCTCTAAAGGCTTCTTGGAACATCAGTGCTTTCTGTTCCAGAGGATGTTTGTGGAATGCCTTCAAATCAGCCCAGGTTCCTGTTCAGTAGGGTAAGTGGAGGTGAAGGAGCTGTGCCCGGCTGGTGGCCTTGGCAGATGAGCACACCTTTAGAACAGCAATCCTTGCCCAAGAGTGGCTCGTCCCAGCTGCCCACTGCTTTCACTCCAGGTGAGTGCACTGGGATGAGCCCTTCCCTGGGGATGTCTGTGACTGCAGGCGTGTCCCTGCAGCCTGCTGGCTCCATCCAGGGTGCCACAGGCCTGGCTGCAGCTTACACTGCCTCTGGATTCCTCTGCTCCACACACGTGTGCTGGAAAATTGCAGGTTTTAAGATTCACGGGTTTCAAATCTGCTCTTGTATCAGCCTGACAATGAACTTTTTATTTTTCCTTAGGGAAGCATACAGAGACTGATGGATGGTGGTAACAGGACTTCATGATCTTGCAGAGCAAGACAGGCACTGTGTGCTCCGCTTAGTACTGAACTACAAATCAATCTTGCAAAATAGCTTCTACTGTAAATGCGATTCCCAAATTGTCCTGTGGTGCTGCAATCCAACAGCCTGCACACTGATCCTAATCTGCATTTACACAACAGCTTTTGTGTGGCTGTCAACACAGGTCTGTGCCTTCACTGAGCTCTAAAGCTCCGTGTCCTGGAGGATGTGGGAGTGAGAGGTGCATTGTCTCTGTACTCACTGGTGACTGTCACCAAGACAGAATCAATTAGGGCATGAGTTGCCACTTTATTCACACTGCATAAATGTTTTTCCAAGACTCTCTTCCTACCCTTGCTGCTGGATGGAGTTTTCTGCATGTTCCCTGTTCCATGTCACAGACGCATAATCTTGACTTGTTAATATCAGAAAGCTGGCGGTTTCTGGAGCTGCCTTTAAATGTGTTCTCTTCATAAGGCATCTTGGAAATTGATAACACCAAGGTTACTTAAAGCCTCACATTCCCAAGTCTTCCAGGAAATGTCTTTGCTCTCGTAGAAAAGCTCAGTCAAGCAGTATTTTATACACCCAAGTTTTAATGACTCTGGACTCTGACATTGCCCTGCTGCAACTGGCTAAGCCCACGGAATTCAGCCCCTCCGTGCTCCCAGTGTGCCTCCCTGCCGAGGAGGAGATGCTGCAGCCCTCGGGGATGTGTGTGCTCACAGGTGGGGTGCACCTGAAGCAATGATGCTGCTTGGGCGTGTTGTGCCTGTGTTTTAAATAGCACATCCTGTGCTGGAACTCTCCTTCTGTCTGTACATTGGGTTTTGGAGAACAGACATGTTGAAAAGTTTTCACTTGTGTAAGCTCAGCTAGCTGTGAAGAAACATGGGTGGGAGGAGAGAAATCAGATAATTTAGATGGAGACCGTTTGAAAAGGAAAGGAGTAAAGCTTCCTTCTGGAACCACTAATTCATGCCTCTACTGCATGATGCGTTTTAATTCAAGACAGGGAAAAGGGGAAAAAACTGCAGGAGCTGGAAGTCCCCATCCTGGCACCTGACAGATGTCAGGGCTATTACACAATAATAATAATAATTGTGTAAAATAATAATGCCAGTAAAGTGACCCAGGGGATGATCTGTGTGGGACAACTCAGGGATTTATACCCTCCATGGAATTACTAGCTGGGGTTTGGGATGTGGAAAGAAGAGCTACTCAGTAGTTTACACCAATGTTGATTTTTTTGTTGACTGGATCAAGAAGAATATTAATAGTAGTGGTATGTATGACAAAAAACCCCCAACAAAATAATTAAATTAATCCTTTTATTATTGTTAGATGATTAATTCGAGGTCTTTTCCAGGGTGCCATTTTTATATTTGGGTGTCCAGCACTCCTTGAGATCTTGGCTGTTTAAAATATCCCTAGCTGAATGCCCAGAAAAGAAACAAACTTAAATCAGCAGTAACTTCTGAATCTTATTTCTTCCAGTTGTATTATTATTATTCCGCTTTTGAATGCATCTGTAGTGTGGATGAATGTTTTCCTTGCTGTGGCTTTGCAGCTTCATTTCTTGGGGTTGGGAGGAGCATGAACTGACACAAGGTGGCAGCTAAGCCCACTTTGACAAGTTTACAGCCTGTCTTTACTGATTATCTTTTCAACATTTACCCTGTTTTATTCTTCCTTTTTTTTTTTTTTCTCCCTGTTTTCATTGTGTGACTGTCAAAAGAAGAGTTCTGATGGATCCCATTGTAAAACACTCCCAAAGCACAAATGCCATTGAAAACAAAATTTGGTGGGAGTGTGTTTTTGACTGATGAAGATTCAGAGTAGCTGATATTTACCCTGGGGAATTTACTGCTGATTTACCTGAACTGATTCTTTGGCTTTACACCAGTGTTGGAGCAGTCACAAGTTACCTGCAGGCTCCTGACGCTCTGTTAATCCATTTTAGAAGGGAAAAGAGGGAAAAGAAGCCACATGAGCCAAGCATGTCCTCGAATGTAATGCTGGAGAGTATAAAAATACTGCAGGATATTTTTAATCCAGTTTCTGGTTTTACAAATTGTGTGGTGTTTGAACAAAAGTGTTTGAAAAGACAGGTGTTACAGGCCAAGGGACCATGCAAGAACGGATAGCTATCCTAATTAATCCATGAATTAACTTGTAACTAGCAGTTTGTTTAATGTCCAAAAAGCTGCTTATACAGAAATCTGTGGTGACAGGCACCAGTTAGCTTTGCAGACTCTTCCTGCTCTCAGCTTCAGAGTTTAAAACTGGATTAGTAGGGTAGTACAACAGGTAGCACAAGAATAATCCTCCTTTGACTCAGTGGTGTAGATAATAACCAGAATGTATCTCACTTAGATTTTGTTGATATAAATGGCAAAAATATTTAGAGAGTTTTTTCTCATACAAGCATTTGGTGCCAGTAACCCTCCTTTTTTATTATATTAGTTTTGAACTTTGGTTCTTTGAGGTTTTTTTTTAACTTTTAATTTTATTCTGTAGCTGGGGAAATAATAATCTCACTGACTGTATTTTCCAATTAATAAGGTAAAGATATTTGACCATTCTCTTCAGTGTAAAGTTTGACATTGAGCACGAGTTTTTTTGTGAAGCTATGAAAATATTTAACAGGGGAAGGATTAGGGGCAAATTGAGATTCAGATTAACACCTGTGTTACATTATTGATACAGAATGTGTGTTCTATCTTTGCTAAACTTTCTGAAGAGATCTTCAGAGAGAAATGGGGGGAAAATACCCTTTCTAAATTTTTATTATAGAAGCCTGTTAATGTTTGGTTATGGTGGACTGTATCAGTTTATGTTGGGAGCAAATGTGTATTATCTCTGCTATCCTGTTTGGCTTAACAGGAACACAGTGACTTTTATCTGTTTATTAATTTAAGACAAGGATTTCAAGTGGATGTGTTCAAAACAGCAAAAATCGTGTGGGGAGAACTACAGGTGTTATCAGCTGTGATGATATTGAATGCTGTGGTTATATGCTGGTAAATTGATATCTCTTATGAAAATTCCTGTCTTAAATTCTGTCTTAAAATGTCTGGTTTTGATTTGATTGTTATGGCACTAACTTTTTGCTTGGCTGCTTGATGTTGGCCTTTTGTGTTTCTCCTAGTATGATTTTATGAGGAGCCTAGTTTTGTTTTTGTTTGTCTTATCTTTCTAGTCTCTTGTAAAGTGCCGGTACCTTTTAGCAACAATATGAACTGTTTTCTGATGCAAATGAAATCTTGATTTAAAAACAACTGAAAAAAACAAGAACTGGAAAAAAAATAATAAAATACTTTCAAGGGGGTTCATGTAAAGGGGTTGTATTTTAGTTTTGAGGCGAGGATTTGTGACCGTAGCTTGTCCTGGAATGGTGTCCCGCTATCTCTGTGCTCCTCTGCCTGTGGAGATAACCCATTCCTGACCCTTCTCCCGCTGTGGCTCTGCCCAAAAGGACACGACATCCCCATTCTCATCTTCCCTGTTTCCTTTTATCCTCGCTTTGTTTCCCTTGCACTTTTCCAGAAGTGGCCACGAGGGCAGGTTTATTTCTCATTTAGGAACCCATTCATTGCTGTGCCTTGAGTGCACAGAAACACTGCCACTTCTTCATCTGAAGTGATTACTTCGACTTTGCTCTCTTCCTTTAATTTATCCCTGCGGAAAGAAGCTTTAAGCACTGGAAGGGAATGCCCGGGGAGGTGGTGATGCCCTGTCCCCGGAGGCGTTCAAGGAAAGCCTGGCCATGGCACTCAGTGCTGGTTAACACGGGGCTGTCCGGTCACAGCCTGTCCTCAGTGACCCCAGAGCCTTCTCCAACCTCACACAACCGGTGAAATGAAGAATTTGGCTTCTCCAACCTCACACAACCGGTGAAATGAAGAATTTGGCTTCTCCAACCTCACACAACCGGTGAAATGAAGAATTTGGCTTCTCCAACCTCACACAACCGGTGAAATGAAGAATTTGGCTTCTCCAACCTCACACAACCGGTGAAATGAAGAATTTGGCTTCTCCAACCTCACACAACCGGTGAAATGAAGAATTTGGCTTCTCCAACCTCACACAACCGGTGAAATGAAGAATGTGGCTCCTCCAACCTCACACAACCGGTGAAATGAAGAATGTGTCTCTAGGGGCGGCCTGAGGGCGGAGCGGGGCTCCCGGTGGCGTGAGGGACGCGGGAGGAGAAACCAGGAGGAGGGACCGGGAGGAAGAAGCGGGAGGAAGGACCGGGAGGAAGAACCAGGAGGAGGGACCGGGAGGAGGGACCCGAGGAGGAACCGGGAGGAGCCGGGGCTGAGCGGGCCCGGCGCGGCGGGAGCTGTGGGGGAGAGGCCGCCATGGAGGCGCTTGCGGTGAGGGACCGGGCCGGGGCCGGGACCGGGGCTGGGGTCGGGACCGGGACCGGCCGTGCCCTCACCGCCTGCCCTTCTCCTTCTGACAGGGAGCGCCTGTGGCCGTGGCCGTGGCCGTGGTGGCCGCGTCCGCCCTGCTGCTGCTGCTGCTCCGCGGGACGGCGCGGAGGCCGAGCGGCCCCGTCACGCTGCAGGACCCGCTCGCCAAGTACCCGCTGCGGCTGCTGGACAAGGAGGTGCCCGGGGGCGCTGGGGACGTGGGGCAGCGGGGCTCCGAGGGCGGTAGGTCCGCTGGCCCGAGGGGCTCTTGGCCACCCCAGGGATCGAATCCCCAGAGCAGGGCACAGAGCCCTCCAAGGCTGTGAGCCCCGAAGCCGCCCTGTGATACTCCCAGTGTAGAGCAGGGTGTGTAAAAGCGTTTCTGCCACGCTGCGAAGTGTTGTTTCCCGATGCTTGGCGTGTTTAAGTGGCGGCTGTGTTCGTCCCTCGGTTGCTGGCCTGGGTGCACCGTGAGAAGCAAGCCCAGCAGCCTGAGCTTCTGCACGCCCTGAGTTGCCTGATCCTTGGCCACAAGCATGGAATGTGCTCACTGGCCTAGGGCACCGGGTTTCCTAATTTTATCTGTGCTAAAGTGCTGTAGGGATTGCGCAGGCAGGCAAAAATCACTTCTTGTAGAAGTAAGGAAGAGAAAACTGCTTCTGAAACCCCTGGTTATTTCAACTTTCTTTATCAAAGCCCTTTTCTGTGTCCTTTCCCAGCATTTGGCTTGCATGCTAACAAGGAGCAGGCTTGCTAAAGCATATTGTGTTGAGTTTGAAATTCAAAGTAGTGGTGATGCTGACCTCGTTCTAACTTTGGTTTTCTAGGAAATCAGTCACGATACTAAGAAATTCAGATTTGGGCTACCCTCAACAAATCATATATTAGGATTACCTGTAGGTAAGTACTGCAAACACTTAATTACTCGTATTTCTGGTTTCTCACAGTTCTTGGACTTCTGACTGTGAATTTAAGGCTCAGAAAAGCAAGGAGTTGAAAGCTGCATCTGAATGCTGCTGTCTCAGGGAGAAATGTCAGGTTTCCCAGAGGGTTGTGTTTCTGATCTTTTGTGAGAGCTTTGTCCACTTGTGTGGTGTAGGTTAGAAATGGAGCAGTGAAACTGAAGTGAGCCTGATGGAACTCATCACCAGTCAGGATATAAGCCAGAGTGATATCTGTCAAAGCTTTTTCATGTTTCTTACTTGCATTCTACTTCCATCTGGTCCCCTCAGTCTGTTGGCAATTGCCCTCATGGTTTTGGCAAATGCAGTCACACTTGTAAAGGAGAAAGGGGACAACTCTGCTGCCTGGGAAGATGCTGAAATATTCAGAGCCTTTTCTGTGCATGCACTTACCTTCGGATCACACACATGTCCATGCAACTTTATCTGCAGTTCTGTTGCACTAATTTCAGCCTAGGATTTGCCTTCTTTCCTGTACCCTGGTACACTTACAGCACTGAACCTTGGACCTTGGATCAATGATTGTCTGTGCAGGGGAAAGTCTCTCTCTGATCTGCAGATGTGGCTCTGTTCTGCACTGTTTGGCACCTCCCTGTGCTGTATGGCAGGTGTCAGGGTCATCCCATTCCATGCTGTGAGCATGTCCTTGCATGCTGCTTGTTCTTCTCCAAACTCTCTTCTGCCTTGTATGGGAAGGAGTAATGGAATTTACTAGATAAATGGTAAACCAACTGAGATGTGCTCTGCAGTGCTTGTGTTT